GTCCAACATGATGTCACGTTTAAACAAACATTAAGAGAGATCCAAAAAGTGAGGCAAAACAATTGAGGATAATCGACATATTGAGACTATCGAACAGCGCTTTAAAATAATGACGATTAATAGATTTAAGAAAAAAAGATCTAGTGGAAAAACGGACAAGGAAAAGACAGAGACGTGCGGCAAAAAGAAATCATGAGAAAGACCAAAAATGGAAATGCAAGAAGTAAAAAGCACTGTCCCTCTACGGAAGCCTTTCGATGACCCCATCGGCAGACAGGACTACCTGCCCGCCCCCAACCAGGGGAGAACTGGTGAGTTTGAAGATAGTCCATGGAAATTATCAAAATGAAACAGGCCCAGGGAAAAGAACGAAAAGATGAAACAGAGCATCTGAGATCTGTGGGACAACATCAAACTGTCCAACACACGTGTTATGGGAGTTCCGGAAGGAGAACAGGAGGAGGATGGGACAGGAGAAACACTAGAGGTGACTGTGGGTTTCCCAAGATTTTAATGAAAGACGACAAACCACAGACCCAAGAGCTCAGTAAACCGCACCGGCGTCGCTTTCGCACCGTCTTGACAATCGAAAAATCTGTGTGAGTAGGAGCTCGCTTCTGAGCTCCTTACTCTGCCACATTGACTTATTTGTATACATTTACACCACAGCCACACAGCCATGATTAGTTTTGCTTTAAGTCTTAAAAAAAAAACCATATTAGAAAGCCTCTGGCTCTCAAGATGGTTTTAGCTGTATACTATCATTAGCATCTCCTGGACATTTTAGAGCCAGCATGACAATTGCTACAAAAAAAAAAAAAATGGCTGTGGAGATTTTTGTTGGAAACGTGTGGAATATACACAGTGACTTGCAGAGAATGGATATCTTAGCGACAGATGTGGGATCCACTCAGAGTGTCTTCAAGAGCCACTATTTTGCGGAGAGGCACAGCCGTCTCACCTCACACCCACCACATTTTACAAAGAGGGCTGCTAAACGAAGGTCTCAGGTAGAGAGAAATCCTCCCCCACAAATGCCCCACACATCACCATCATTGTATTTAGCAGGTTCCATTTGTCAGTAAGTAAAGTTCAACATCTACTGAAAACCATCAGTAGGGCACCTTCCTTCATTAGCTGTTCTCAGCACTAACAGTTATTTTAAAGAGTGAATCTATAACTTACATGTCATGGAATAACCCATTTCTTTCAATTACAAAAAAAAAACAACAAAAACAACACACCTCCTTAAAAAAGCTGCAGAGAGAAAAGACAATACACACTATTTAAACAGAATTATCTGCAAATGGGGCATTAAATAAACATGAACGTTTTACACCTACATAGCATGCCTGTCATGAAAATATTCAAAAGTACTTTTTTTTTATTTTGGCATATTATGGGGGTACAGATTTTAAGGTTTCAATAAATGCCCATTTCCCCCCCTCCCCCCAAAAGTCTGAGTCTCCATCATGACCATCCCCCAGATGGTGCACATCTCACTCATTATGTATGTATATGCCCGCCCCCCTCCCACCTGCTCAAAAGTACTTTCTTAACAATTATATTTTATACAACACACCAAAAGGAACAGATGAAGTGAAATATTGACAGTTTGCTCCAGAATGGACAATATATTGGTAACAACACCAAAAACAAAACAAAACAGCAAACCTGGCTTCACGTCAATATAATTAGTGAACATCATTGCACTTACCCTCAGAACAGAGTTACAAGACTTCTTTTAAGAGTTCCTCTTGAATCATCTAGAACAGAAAGATCGAAAGTACCTAAAAACAATATATGATCCAAATCATGTTTACATGAAAAGTTAGGTTTCAACTGCAAACTTTATTTTAGACAATAGATTATTTCTTTTTTTCTAAGACCAGCAAAGACAGCTTCCTGGTCTGGGATAAACGAGTGTAGCCTGGAAGTATGAGCAGCAAAGGAAAGAACATGTGGGGTGGGGTCGCAAGGGAGGCTGATGACTGACCCCCAAGGAGGGTAGCAGTCACACACAAAGGGGCCTGACCCTCTGAAGATGGTGGCAGAGACTGGAGCAGCAACTTTGCCTCTCATTTGCTTTGTGGCCTGCGAGGCTGATTTTATTTGACATCTGCCTTCATTTACTGTTTAAAACAAAAGGGGGTAGGGGGATCATAAAATAAGTATCAAGAGCAAACTTAGAAATGGATAAATGTTGAAGAAGAAGTGCAACTGCCTTCATTTTATTGAATGACTACTATTTGCCACTCCCCCGGGGATTTTAGTACGTTATCTCTTCAAATTATGCCAGACTAATTCTAATAGACATTTTAATCTCCTGTTTAAATAACATGACCAGGGCCACACACGTAGCAGAGATAACCAGAGTTTAAAGTCCACCTTTTTATACCAGGCCATAGTTCCCTGCTCTGGGTGACTCTGCTGCTGTTTTTAAAAACTGGGTGCAACTGGTATTGCTCAGATGTCATAATAAATACTCTTTTTCACACACAAAGAAAGTGATATTTTCCTACCAAATGGTTCCACAGTGAGAAGCAGAAATGACTTCGTTTTAAGGCATCTATAGTCAGTCTCCTGCCCCTCCACACCCAAGGACTTTTGCCCATCCTGTAAATCTCTGTGTGCCAATATCTGGCCAGTCATAGGGTGTGAGTAATACGTGTTGAATGGCTAATGGGCGCAGCAGGAAGTCATAGAATTTATCCTATTCGAAATTCAGTTTCTATACGTATCCTGCTTTTAAATCTTTTTTTTTTTCCTGAAAATTACATTTGTGATGGTTATATCTGTGCCACGTCAGACTAGATTCACTTTTGTAAAAATAAGCCCTACAGTCTTCCACCATGCACCTCCTTTGAGAGGTGAGGATGAACTTACATGCTACAGGAATGTAGACTTAAAAAATATTAAAACAATTCATAATTCGTTGTCCCGAAGGTCAGCTGGGACACCTGCACGGTGACGCCCAGATGCCATGCACGGATGGTCGTTATCAGAGCCATCCTGGCTTCCTTGACCAGGCAACTTGCTCTCCCTCCACCTGACCTGCCAGGTGTGTCCTGGGTGCCCGGGTCTTCAGTTGCAGACCTGCTTCCGACTCCTGCTTCCTTTGGTAATTCTGGGGCCAAGGTCACAGCCTGTGGCTAATGACTGAGAAAACCATATCCTCGGTTCACTATTTCCCCCACACTGTTAGCAGATAGTCACTGGGCGTTGGGCTCCCTCTGTGTATGGTTCAAAGCAAAGCCATTCCATTCAGACCCAAGGTGACGTCTCTGGGGGACCCATCCTGCCTGTTGGTCACTGGGTAAATATGATAAGCATAGGCCAACAATAACTTTTATCAGTTCATTTTGGACCATCCTCACAGTCCACACAAAGTAGGCACAGAAAGTAAGATGATGGCCTTTCTTAACTATGGACTCAAAAGAAAGGACCCTACCTAGAATTTCACAGGCTCCCCACCTTGCTAGTCAGCTCTCTAAAACTGAACACACAAAACCCTCTGAAATTTGTTTTACGTAGCTCATTCTTTCAAAACTTTTTAGAAAAGCATGTCCATTAAATTCTATTTTGAAATAAAAAAAAAACAAAACTATAATAGTGTCTACAATTCAGTTTTCCATCTTGAAAGTAAAAACGCTCGTTCTTTGTGTTCTTGGCATTTTACTTGAAAATGAGTATTATGGTGTATTTTAGAAGATAATTTATATGAAAAAAAAAACAAAAAACAACCGTACACTGAATGTCAGCTTCCACCTCATTTAAATTGTTTACACATTCATGGGAAAACCTAGCTGTTAACCTTGGAGAGGGTTCTTTGAGACCGCCCTCTGCAAGATAAACAGATTTCTCCCAATTAGACCTAGAGTCTGCGTGCTGCCCCGCCCCCATTCGGTGGCCCTGGGGACAGAGGGGGTGGAAGGGGACAGAGGGGTACCCCAGTAATGCAGGGGGCGATGGGGAGGTGGGCAGCCCTGGAGGTACAGGGGACAGAGGGGTACCCCAGTAACGCAGGGGGCGATGGGGAGGTGGGCGGCCCTGGGGGTACAGGGGACAGAGGGGTACCCCAGTAATGCAGGGGGCGATGGGGAGGTGGGCAGCCCTGGGGGTACAGGGGACAGAGGGGTACCCCAGTAATGCAGGGGGCGATGGGGAGGTGGGCGGCCCTGGGGGTCCAGGGGACAGAGGGGTACCCCAGTAATGCAGGGGGCGATGGGGAGGTGGGCGGCCCTGGGGGTCCAGGGGACAGAGGGGACCCCCGGAGACGGAGGGGGGCACCGGGGACCCGGGGCTGGAGGAGCAGAGGGGAACCCCGGGACGGACGCAGGAGGACGGGGTGGCCTTGGGGGTGCAGGGGGACAGCGGGGACAGCGGGGACTGCGGGGCAGAGGGCGACAGCGGGGACCGGACGGCCCGGGGACCGGACGGCCCGGGGACCGGGACCCGGGGGCCGTCCGCCGGGACAACGCTGGAACCGGGGCTCGGCCGCGGCGGCGGGGACAGGCCGGCCAGCCTCTCCCGGCGCCGGCTCCCCGGCCCGGCTCCCCCGGCCCCGGCCGCGGGCGGACGCAGCCTGCGCTCGGCCGCGCACCTCCCAGCGCCGACTCCTCCGGCGCGCGGCCGCCCGCGCCTTATATACCCTGCTAAAAATAGCCTGCGAGGCCGCCCTCCAATCGGGCGCGGGCCGCGTTCGAATCGAGCCAATGGCGAGGCCCGTGATGGAGAGGCTCGGTCACGCCAGGCGGGGCCGCGCTGTGCCGCCGCGCGCGATTGGCCGCAGCTGACGTCACCGGCGCGCGGCCCCCGGGCCGGGCGCGGCGGGATGGCCGCGCGGGGCGGGCGCGCGGCGGGTCACGTGCGGGGCGGCGCGGCGGCGGGCGGGCGCCGGCGCGGAGCTTTGAATAGGGAAGTTTTGCGGCGCCGGCGCTCGCAGTCTCCGCGCCGTTGGCCGAGCCGGGCGCTGAGCTTGCGGGGCGCGGGGCGCGGGGCGCGGGGCCGCGGCCGGCGTGCGGGGGGCTCGGCGCTCGGGCGCCCGCCATGGACGTGCTCCCGATGTGCAGCATCTTCCAGGAGCTCCAGATCGTGCACGAGACCGGCTACTTCTCGGCGCTGCCGTCGCTGGAGGAGTACTGGCAACAGGTACGCGGCCGGTCCACACCGCGGGCCGGGTCCACACCGCGCGCCGGCCCCGGCCCTGCCCCGGGCTCCACGCTGCGCCGCTGTCCCGGGTCCACACTGCGCGGCCGGGTCTACGCAGCGCGGCTGTCCCGGGTCCACACTGCGCGGCTGTCCCGGGTCCACACTGCGCGGCCGTCCCGGGTCCACCCTACACGGCCCGGGTCCATCCTGCACGGCCGTCCCGGGTCCACACTGCGCGGCCCGGGTCCACGCAGCACGGCTGTCCCGGGTCCACACTGCACGGCCGTCCCGGGTCCACCCTACACGGCCTGGGTCCACACTGCACGGCCGTCCCGGGTCCACCCTACACGGCCTGGGTCCATCCTGCACGGCCGTCCCGGGTCCACACTGCGCGGCCCGGGTCCACACTGCACGGCCCCGGTCCTGTCGCAGGGACGCACTTGCTGCCACTGCCAGGGCACTTTTTTTTTTTTTTTTTTTGAGACATTCTGTTTTTGTTTTCCTTCTGGTGCTCCAGCGTGCAGTTTTTTAAAATCTGCAGTGTTGCCATTGCCAATGTCTTTGCCCTGTTTGCAATGCTTCTTCCCGTTTCTCCTAGACCTGCCCTTTTTTTTTTTTTTTAATTTTTTATTTTTTTTCCTCCTTCCTTATCTGTTTTTCTGGTTGGCCAGGGGAAAGAAAACAAAACAAAACTGTTTGCACACCAGTGACTTGTCAGTCATATGACAATGAGCCCGTCCTAATTGCTTCAAGTCTCAGTTTGGAAAGGAGGACCTCCTCGGTTTCCGGCATTTTTTGTTTTTTTTTTAGTGGGGCTGGAATTTTTTGGCATTGGACATTTAAGCAACTTAAATTTTTCTCATTCTTATTCGTAAGATTGCAAGAGGGGAGAGAGACTTGACACTTGTCCCATTGTCTAAAAAAAAAAAAAAAGACGGAAGGAGGGTTTGGTGGTGGCATCTCTCTGCCCTGCCTTGGTGTTTGCTTTTTGTCACTAAGTGAATTACCAGATCAGATACATTCTGGGGTCTCTAAGCCTGGAAAGCTCTTGAGGAGGATGAAATGCAAAGTGTTGCAGCCTTCACACGCCCGCTTAATTGTACACAACCCTCTCCTGCCTTCCTCCCTCCTCCCCCTGTTTTTTTTTTTCCCCTCAAAAGAAGCTGCTCCCTGGGACGTGATTGAAATTGATCTAAGTAGTTTCCTTCGGGTATTTGGGATTTGGGCAGCGGGCCAGGCTTGGCTCCTGGTCGCCTTGCGAGGCTTTTAAACTCTCTGAGAGCTTCCTTCTGGTCCCTGGTGCCCATTAGCATAATGGAGATCTTAAATTAGCCAGATTATCAAAGTTTAACAAGATCTCAATAAATGTGCTCTGCCCGCCGTTCCTCCGGAACATCAGCAGAATACATGGCCGCCTCTCTTCCGAGAACGCTCCGGTGTGCATTGTAACTCAGCCCTCTAATTTTAGGGGGAAAGAGAAAACAGTGGTCGCTCCCCCTCCTGCCTGCCTGCGGTGTGGGGAGTCCCCGGGGAGGGGAGAGGGTGTGCATGCGTTTTGGTAGAAGGCACACTGCCCTGCTTGGGAAGCAGCGGCCCTCCCTCCGCTCTCCCAGGGGCTGTGCTCAGGAAGGTATGTGCCCTGAAAATGATGTGCTCCAAAGAGCAGTTTGGTGGAGACATGTACAGCTGTAGAATCGCCAGTAGTATAGACAGCCTTATATGGACATGCAGGCAGCTGATCCTAGTGAAAATCGGGGCCAGACATAATTTAATCCTAAAACGTTTCCTACCATTTTTCTTTTCCAGTGGCTAGGAAGTTTGAGATGGTGGGGAGAGGGGATGCTGATCTCGGCAGTTGTAGCTTCTTGAAAGGTTGGTTGCGGGGCTGCTGGGGGGGTGCCCTGTCCTGGCCACACTGCATGTCTATTTGAACCGAGTCCTTCCTTGGCTGCTGGTCAGAATTTCAGAAAGGAAGTCTCCTTTGGCATTGCGTGAAAGAAATAGGAGTGATGACTCATCCAGTTGTGCTCTTGGCCAGTAGATAAAGTTCTCGTTCCTTGTGGGACTCCCAGCAGGGCCGTGCAGTAATTCCCCCCTCGCCTCCCTCTCCGGAGCAGATGGCCTTTCTGGAACCATTTCTCCACTCTGTTGTTGACGCTCCTTGTTTTTTCTCTGACCACTGGAGAAGTAATTAAAGTTCTGTGGCATGCACGGCGGCCGGCCCTGCACTTGGGAATGGCACTCTTTGAAAAACACACTGGGTCTCAGCGACACAGGAAATGGGTGGTTCCTCTGCAGTTCCACCGATATCCCTGAATGCAGACCAGACGGCTAGCCGCGGCCTGCTCCCTTGAGGGTGGCCCTGTGTGGTCAGCTGTGAACCCAGAGGGTCCGTCAGAACACACCCGTGTGCCGTGCATCCTTCTGTCCTGTTGCGTGGATATCTGCAGGGTGTGGACGGTGGGGCCTTGCTTACTGCACATGGTTCTAGAGAATGTCAGATAATCTGGTTCAACCTGTTGGGAGGGGGGGTGGTGTTTGTGAGGCTGGTTCTCTTCTGTGGTTACCGGAAACCCATTAGATACATCAACACTGGTAACTATAACAACGGCAACAACAAAAAAAAAACTGGCTGAGTGATCATCACTCACTGTGGCCGTCCGTGCAACTCTGGGGAAGCCGCGAGAGGTTTCACCCTCTGGTTTTTCTTCTGAATTCTTACTCATTCCCAGAAACAGATTTCCTCTAACTTCCCTAAGGACACAGATTCTTAATGGCAGACGGTTTTGCCCCTCGTAGTGACACGGCAACAGTCTCTCTGCCCTTCAAATCCCTGCATGGTTTTAGAGAAATGTGCTTTTTTTTTCCTTCTATTCTCGGCAATCCTGACAGTCACGTGCCTTCTTCTGGTTCCTTTTGCGCAGACCTGCCTGGAGTTGGAGCGCTACCTCCAGAGCGAGCCCTGCTATGTTTCAGCCTCGGAAATCAAATTCGACAGCCAGGAAGATCTGTGGACCAAAATCATCCTGGCTCGGGAGAAAAAGGAGGACTCTGAACTGAAGCTCTCTTCCAGTCCTCCGGAGGATTCCCTGATGGGCCCGAGCTTTGGGTACAACCTGGAGACCAACAGCCTGAACTCGGACGTCTGCAGCGAGTCCTCCGACAGCTCCGAGGAGCTTTCGCCCCCTGCCAAGTTTGCCTCTGACCCCACCGGCGAGGTCCTGGCCAGCTCCTCGGGGAACCTGAGCTCCTCGGTTACCTCCACGCCTCCGTCGTCTCCAGAACTGAGCAGGGAGCCTTCCCAACTGTGGGGGTGCGGGCCGGGGGAGCTGCCCTTGCCGGGGAAGGTGCGCAGCGGGACTTCGGGGAAGCCGGGTGACAAGGGGAGCGGCGACGCCTCCCCGGATGGCAGGAGGAGGGTGCACAGGTGCCACTTCAACGGCTGCAGGAAAGTTTACACCAAAAGCTCCCACTTGAAAGCGCATCAGCGCACGCACACAGGTCAGTCCCCAGCCGGCGGCGCCCCTGCCCTGGGAACGGGAGGCGGCCACCGCAGGCAAACCCTCGCTTCCCCAGACCGTTGTCACCTGGGAGTTGGGGCCTTTTGGAGTTCAGAGCAGAACCCCGTAAGGCTGGACGTTTGAGCCGGATGAGTGGCTGTTGACGCGTTCAGATGAAACCAACAAGGCCCGGCCACATTTTCCGTGGGCACCCCCAGTCCTCTGCCCGGGCCCGCTGTGTACACCCCGGCGTCCGAGCGCCGGGTCACGGTGGGTGGCCAGAGGGTCACTGGACACGTGGCTGTCGTGCGCCGGTGCGCTGAGGAAGGTGTGCAAGGCCCGAGCGGGACCCCACTGCTCTGTGAGCACCAGCATGCATCAGGGGTGTTTCCCGGGAGTTTCTCTGTGTGTTCTGCATTTTTTGTTTTCTGATGCCACTTAAAACAACAACGGCATCTTGATGCAGTGTGCTCACTTAGACGACAGTCTCTCGGATAACTGGGGGAGAATCACAGGAAAGTCAGAGCTGGAGAAGATGCTAGGGACCGAGGAGGGGGTGCAGACTTCTCTTACCCTTCCAAGGGCAGATTGCCAAGGGGGTCAGTTCAGGGTCCCGGGTGGGCTTGGAGACAGGGCTGGGACTGGGAGCAGGTGGCCTGCAAACCAGGGCCCTGCCTGTCCCAGCACACACCCGAGGACTGGCTCGGCAACTTTGTGTCCTCAGGTGGCACGTTTATTGCACGCAGATTTATCCTTTGGCCAAAGAAGGAGGGCGGTCTGGTACTTCGACTGCCGTTCAGAGAGTGATCAGGGGGCGTCGACATGGGGTTTCCCAGAAACGCATGTCTTCAGTAGAAATGTAGAAGGTCCCAGAGGAAGCCGCAGAAAGGCTCGTTCCGCAGGGAAGTGAGTAAGGAACAAAACAGTGCTGGAGAGAAACGGTTTCCATGGAGAAGGCGATAAACCTCTGCCCTGGACGGGGCCGTGGGCTCGGCGGGCTGACGCCTCCTCTTGGAAGTATTTGGCCAGTCTGAGTCGCTGTCACCGTTGCGCCTTAACATTGACAGCGGTGGCGTGGGCTTTGCCAAACACCAGGGTCTCTCGGACAACAGTGGGAGGCCCAGGGCTGGGTCAGGAGAGAGCTGGTGCTCGTGAACCCTGAGCTCGGCAGACACTGCCCTTCCTGGAAGCCCATTATGCATCCCTGAGGCCGCTGGGGCCCTGCCCTTGCAGCCCGCCCCCTGCTAGCGCGTGTTGTGGAATCGCCCCCTCCCTCCTCGTCCCATGAAGTCACGGCCCGCCTGTCCTCTGCTCTCTCCCCAGGAGAAAAGCCTTACAGATGCTCGTGGGAAGGGTGCGAGTGGCGTTTTGCAAGAAGTGACGAGTTAACCAGACACTTCCGAAAGCACACCGGCGCCAAGCCTTTCAAATGCTCCCACTGTGACAGGTACGGGCAGGAGAGCCGCACAGGGCAGGCGCAGGGACGGCGGGGCGGGCCGGGCAGGCACGTGTGGCAGAGGGCCCCAGGTTCCCTGCCGTGTGCTGACGTCCCTTTTTAGAAAGTCTGAGCTATGTTAGCTGCCCGTGTTCAGGAAGCACCGTACCAGGCATGCGCGAGAACAGAGCGATTTTTGTGGATGGTTTTTGAAGCTCGGCCTTTTAACCTTTTTGGGCATAGTTGAGGCGATAGAAGTGAGGTCAGCCCGAGTTCTGCAGAGAGCGCAGGTGCTGATGCAGGTGTGGGGAGGCACCCTGTAAGTGTGCACGCCTGTAAGTCAGGATTCCCCGTGCCGGGGAATGTGGCCTGGGACAGAGGAGCGAGGCTGGCAGCGCCGGGGAGAGGGAGCCGGGGTCCTGGGGCACACGCGTGTGTGCACATCTGCGGCCGCGGCGGACTCCTAACGTCTGTGCTTCTGCTCTGCCCTGGCAGGTGTTTCTCCAGGTCCGACCACCTGGCCCTGCACATGAAGAGGCACCTCTGAGGGCGCGGAGAGGCGAGTCCTGTGGTTTGCTAAACGGCTTCCGGGCTGCGAGCGAGGCGGCCATGGAAGGAGGATGCGTGTTCGGGCCAAAGCATGCCACTTTGCACCCTGCCCAGCCGCCCCCGGGGCCTCTCCCCGAGGGCTGAACACGCCCTGGGCGACACGGCGGCGGCGGCGTGGCCCCCGTGGTGCGCGGCGAGTGTGTGGGTGACCCTGGACTGGCCGCCGCCGCTGGTCCCTGGCCTTCCGAGCGGCTCCGAAGCCCTTGCCGTGAGCATGCGCCCCGAGAACGCCCGTGGCGGGGCCGGCTGAGTGTCGAGGATCTGTTTGTTCTGACTGTGTGATGAGGCAGACTTTTTTTGCTGTTGTTTGTTTCCCTTGCGGTGGCAAAGCCGCAAGGGACAGGGGGGGGAAAAAGTAGTTTGAATGTTTTGTGTGTCAGGAGTATATACCATGAGATGAGGTGACCACCAGTCATTTCCTGGGGGGGGTGTGTGTGTGTCTGCACCTTAGGAAAAAAAAAAACAAAAACAAACAAACAAAAATACAAAAAAAGAAAAAAAAAAAGGAAAAACGTGCAGGGTGGGGGAGTGGGAACTCAGGACCCCAGCGTGGCGAGTGGTATTGTGGCGGGGGGGCGGGCGCCCCTGTCCCGTCGTGTGCAAGGAGGCTTTGGTCGTCTGGTGCAGCTACTATAAACGTGCAATGTGTCAAGTAGCTTGTTTTACTTGCTACAACCGAGCTCATTTGTAACCCATTGTATAAGCTGTGTATTTGCAGATGTAACACAATGATAACTTTTCCTTATAGTACAAGAAGTCTTGCATGGTCTGGGGGACTCTAATGCTTTTCCATTTGCCAGTCGGGACTGCAGCTCTGATTCTGGGTCACGGGCAGCTACGAATGCCGCCGTCGGTCTGGCGCAGTGTGGCCCCCCCGCTCCCCCCTGGCCACCTAGGCCTGGCGACACACAACCGTTTTCCCCCTTCGATTTTTGTGAACACTCCCCTTCTGGAGAGGCGGCGTGCAGCCTAGGGTTATTTTTTAAGCGATCCTGAATTTGAATCGATTTTTTGGAGGATTTTTCTGATGCCCTTTGAAGAAGTGAGGCACGTGCTGAGTGTCAAAAAAAAAAAAAAAAAGAAAAAAAGAAAAAGAAAAAGCCAGGGGCAGGGAATCGCCGGTCTGATGGTACATTAGACAACGGAGAACCTAAAGTTTTTCTCAGTTGGGTGGATGAAACCACTAATGCTTAGAAACTGTTTTTTCTCATGCAGCTATGTTTCTCTTATTTATGCCTTGAGGACTAATTTCTGGTTTTCTAGCTGTTAATGCACTGTTCATCTTCATAATGGTGCCTTACGCAAGTGACCCCCGAGCGCGGGGTCTGCTACAGGGGTGTGGGCGATGCATGCTTTATTAAGGCTCTTTTTTCACCTGGCATTGTACTGTATCGACGTATAATACAGTAAACAACAACAACAACAAAATCTCTTTAAGGTCCTCCTTCCCAGGGACAGATAGATGAAAAACTCCCTCATAAACATGTCAGTATTTGTTCAATATTTCAGACAACTTGACTGTCAGTGTTAAAATGGGATAATTGAAAAATCTGACCAATTCTGCCACCTTGAGACGTTCGTGTGGACCTTGCACAACAATTGTATAGATCACACACCGGCTGTATTTAATATGTAATCGTTCCACACATATTAAAGATACAGAAGTATTAAAAAAAAAAAACAGAAAAAAACCCAATGTTAATGTATCTGCTTAAAAGGCACAAGTTTCACATGTCTATCTAGTTATCTGTTGGTAATACAGAAAGTATACTACTTTTTTTTTTTAAAAAGTGGGCAGAATTCTTGTGTGTGTATATTTGTGTGTATAGTATGTGTGTGTGTGTGTATATATATATATTATATATATAGATAATATATAAATATTTTTTTTAAGGAGAAACTAGAATGTTTAGCTAGAAAATTCCACAGCCTGTGAAGAAATATTTCAGAATGGCCATAAAGGAGGTGAACAGATGAAAACTATAATCTAACTTTTATAGAGGCTTTATCTTTAACCATTTGCTGAAGACTTTCTTGGCATTGGGTCTACTCCGCACGGCCGCCTTTGCTCCACGTCTGTGGCGTGAGTGGAATAGGGCACCTGTGGCCACTCAGGAGTGGCCTGAACAGAATACTGGAAGCCCAGCTGGACTCAGACACACTAAGGCTTTGATTCGAATTTCAGCCTCTAGGTTAGAAGATCTAACCTAAGCTAATCACAGGGAGTCTTTTTTAGAACACTTTTTATGCAGATGAAGCTATTTTTTTTTTCCAGCATGTAGATTCTTCCAGTTTTTCCAAGGAGGAGTAATTTCCCCAAATTGGCATACCACAGCACGGACAGCTGACACTCCCCAGCTGCTGCTATGTGGGTGCGGATCTTTCTTTTTATATATATATATATATATATATGCGTATATATATACACATGTGAGTCTGCCGGGTTGGTATTTTGTTTGATCTTCCTGGAAATGAGCAGTGATGAAAGCTCACATAACTGGTTTTTTTGTTTTTCTTTTCTTTTTTTTTTTTTTTTTCAAATCTGGGCTGATGAATACATTTACCTAAAAAACTCATTTTTATTTTGCTTAGGGGGAAAATGCACTTTTCTTTTGGCAATTCAAAATCCTAGCACTTGATTTGCTGCGTTTTGGAAAACTCCTTTTTTGGCCCTGCCGTGTGCTTAGCCATAACAATTCCATTAAGCAAGAAGGTAAACAAAAGACAAAAAAAAAAAAAAAAAACTTGCACTGGCTTGCCTCACTTGCGAAACACCGTCAGAGCTCTGCCTGGGTGAGGCGTTGCCCCACGATTTCCACAGTGCGCCAGTACACAGAGACGTACATTCTGTTCAGGTGATAACTGAGCCTCAATCAAGCAGAAAACTTTTTGCTTGAAATTAAAAAAATTTCTATTAGTGAAATTCCTTTCTTTCTTTTGTTTTTTCTTTCTTTCTTTTGGAAGCACCCTGTTATCTAAAGAATCTTTGTAAGATTTTTGTAAAATTTTGTTTTACAAGATTTTATTTGAAATTGTTTTTTGCAAGATTGTTATATTTCTGTATGAATGTATTTTTTATTGGAATAACATAAAAGAATTCTTATCAGCATCTTGAGTCAGGTTGTTTTTCAGGGGGTGGGGGTGGGGTTGGACAAATTCCTGCTGCATTAGTCACCCACAGCCTGTGCCGGGAGTGGAGCGAACGGCCCGCCGTCCAGTCTGACGTCGCTGAAAAGCACGGAGTTCTCTTCTGCGGAGACTCGAAAACAACCACCACGGGGCTCAGGGGCACGGGAGGGAAACACGTGCCATGTCTTCGCTTCCTGCCACTGCAGCCAGGGAATACACTGCAGAGCCGTCTGCCCAGGGACAAGCTTGCAGGGCGTCCTTCCACGCCCCACGCCCCGCCCAGCCCTGCCCGTTCCAGCTCCAGCTCCACAGTGAGAGCCGGGCCTGCCGCCCCCAACCCCACCTGGCCGTGCCTGCACACCTGGCCCAGGTGTGCCTGGGAGGGTGGAGATGGCCGGGCGGGGCCTTGGCCCCAGAGAGCGGTTCCCACGGCCTTCCTCAGCCCGCTCTTCCTCGACCCCAGCCTCCTCCGTGACAGCCCAGGAGGACGGAAACTAGAAGGTGACACCAGGGCCAGACGAATTGATGCCCCCTTTTTTTTTTTTTTTAAGACCAAAGGGATGCATTCAATGTAGAGGTTGCTGGAAAATAAAATGGGCAGCATTGTGTCTCTTAGGACTACGTTCTGGTGAGGAGCTTTAGGTGTCAGTCTGCCTCTACCTGACTGGCAGGATCAGTGCGAACTGATCCCTCTCGGAGTCCCTTTTCAGATTATACTAAGCCAATCAGCTGTGATAGGGTAAAAAGAGAAAAAAAAATCAATGTGCGTTTCCATGGAAACGGGCTTCTCAGCATCATTCTCCGAGTGATGGGATGTCCTCCATTTTAAAGTGCTCACAAGCCCCCTTCATGGGGGTGGGGGTGGGGGTGGGAATCTTCATTTTGCTAAATGTGCAGAATGTATGCAGGCTGCTTTTAATTTTATGACTGCAGAGGGGACGTTTAGATGTGTGCCCAGGTTAGGAATTTCAAGTAAATTTTTTTTTTTTTTTTTTTTCTGCGACCGGGGTAAAAATATCAGCAACCCGGAAAGAGTTTTGGCCGGGCACGGCGGGAGGAGCAGCGGGCGACATCTTTGCCAGGATTCATGGGTGTGTGATATTCCGAAGCACATGTCGGGATGACTCATGGCTGGATCGCCCTGACTGTACGGTCTAAATAAAGCCTTGGGAGTCATCCTCTGCTACTGTTAAGACTCGGCCACTTTGTCATGCAGGGGCGATGCCGAGCAGCTAAGTCATGCTCAAATAAGGCCGTCGGGGGAACCGCGCCGTGCGTGGAATCGGCTGCGAGCCTCAGATATTTATAGGGGCACACACACACACAAAAAATGTCGGTCTGCTTAACGGATTTTCTGAAACCTAGCTAAAAGAAAGGAGATGTCCCAGCTCTCTAATGAGCTGCGTGCTTTCCGGGCAATGTGCTGAGCCTCGGCCTGCTTCTTGCTAAAATTGTCCCGGCTAGGTCCCGTGGAGGATCTGGCATTTTCTACAGCATCCCACAATTCTGTGGTCCGTGAGTACAGGGCGGACTTCACACGACACACCCACGGTCTCCGAGCACTCGGCTCAGATCTTTCTAGAAAGCTTTCCCTGGTGCTGCGGGAGGAAGTCTTGGAGAAACTGCAGAACAGAACATTCTCAAATTGCCCATTGCCCTTCTTTTTTTTTTTTGAGACAGAGTCTCGCTTTGTTGCCCAGGCTAGAGTGAGTGCCGTGGCGTCAGCCTAGCTCACAGCAACCTCAAACTCCTGGGCTCAAGCAATCCTCCTGCCTCAGCCTCCCGAGTAGCTGGGACTACAGGCATGTACCACCATGCCCGGCTAATTTTTTGTATATATATTAGTTGGCCAATTCATTTCTTTCTATTTATAGTAGAGACGGGGTCTCGCTCTTGCTCAGGCTGGTTTCGAACTCCTGACCTCGAGCAATCTGCCCGCCTCGGCCTCCCAGAGAGCTAGGATTACAGGCGTGAGCCACCGCGCCCGGCCGCCCATTGCCCTTCTAATCATGGTTAAATTATTCAGGCATTTGCTGGTTTATAGTATACTATTTTCTTACTTAAAACAACAACAACAACAACAACTTTAGAAAGTGCTGTTGTGGCCATACATGGATCCAGATTCTCTCAGGTTCTCTCGCCTTCCCCAATCCCGTCCTGTACCCAAGTTGACTTATGTGCTAGAAGGGTAATGGAGACAACTGGAGAATATGTCTTGCTTTTCTATTTTAATGGCTATAGGGAAAGAACACAGTTTCCACGCACAGCTACTTCCTTAGGTGCCAGTGTTAGCCACCGTGAACCCTTTAAACAACCATCTTTGGCAAACTGAATTATGTCCATAGCAAACTATGATGGTGAAAATGATAATATCTACCGCCTACATCTTATGCCTTACCCAGGAATTGGGTAGGCAATGAAACGTGTATGCATTCCCCCATAGTAGTGCTGTGTACCGTGATTGTTATACCCATTTCACAGGTGAGGAAAACCGAGGCTCCCAGCGGTTATGCCACTTTCCTGAGGCCACTCAGCTAGGGAGAAGCAAGCTCAGTATCCTGTCCAGGTCTCTTAGACAACCAAAGATCGTGTTTTCAATCACCACCTTCTACTGCTTTCTTCCTTGCCCCCCCCCCACCCCATGTCCTGAGAGGCTGCTGTCGGATCTGTGGGACTCACTTTAAAATGACGTTACCTGTGCAAAGTAGTAGACATGGAGCTTTCTCTGCAGTTCAGAAGCACCAACGCTGCAAACTGTGCTGCAGTCCTGAGGAAAACAAAAGTAACCATTTTGAATTGCTTTCAAGATATGAGACAGATGGCAAGTATTTATTTTTAATGTTTAAGAAGATAGAGGAAGCAATTGGAGACGCCCCCCCCCCGCATTAATTGGCAGGCATCACCTAATGTACATAGCGAAGATACAAAGAGAGGAAAATTAGGTCCATGCATCACACAAATGAGGCAATACAACAAAGTGTATTTAACTGGATTTATTTTATAACAAGATCTTTCCGTCTCACTCCGAATCATTTTAACGAGGATGCTCTAAACGTCTGTGAACGAAAAGACACAAAGGGGAACAAATGTGGGTCCCACATGTTCTGATAGAAGCCACGCCGGGCTGGGCCCCGCCCGTCACCGAAGAATCTTCAGCAAAGGACAGTTTAAACCAGAATGCCAGGGGGCCAGTCTGAGCCCCTGCGAACGCCGGTTGCTAAGCCCAGCACTTCCTTCCCTTTCTACGATCAGTGCCCATCCTACATGCACGTGACCTCTGCAATTGTCCCTGCAATTGAGAGCCCCCAGTCAAGTCTGCCGTGAACAATTAACTTTCTTTAAAAGCTCAGATAGGTAGAGAATGGGAGAGTGCACGTTGTGTTACGCACTGTTTTCCTAAGATTTGTCCTTTGTTGGTGACACAGCACATTTCCTGGTGACTCGCATGCACCAACTAAGCATAGCTCTGGCCCCTTGATTTCTTAAGTTTCACATCACCACATCTCGTCGGCTTGTGCAACATTCACTTCCAGATGTGCAAGCGTGGCTAATGACACACGCACTGACAGCATCACTTAACTCACGCCGCAGCCGGGAGCCCTGCCCAGGTGTCTGTCATCCTTCTGCGTGTGCCAGCGAGGAGGTGGGAGAGTGGGCAGGTCAGACTGCAGGGTTCAGAATCCCCCCCACCACCCCTTTCAGACGGGAATTTGAGAAACCCTTTCCCCTCCTCCCCACCTTGGCTTGTAGAATTTACCATCCTGCCCAAAATAGGTTGTTTATTCATAAAGCTCAAGCTAGAAGCAAGCCCGGCTCACCATGAGACATATGCGTGCATGCATGGTTGTTAATTTTAAAAAATCTAACTCCTTCATTCAGTAAATTGCCTTTGGGCAAAATTCAAGTATCTAAATCATTTAGCCAAGGTAAATGAGAAGAACATTAGTGTTAGCTACAGACTTAAAACAATGAGCTCTAAGGATCCACATTTAAATGTCATGCACTTAAATGTCTCCATGCCCTGCCAGAAGACAGAGGAGGGCAGGAGCTACTTGAGGATTCGTGGAGCAAATGGCCACTAGGAAGTCCAGCATTTCTGAAATTGCTCCCAGGGAAGCCCCTTCGACATGAGAGGGGGTGGGCTAAGAATGGTGGACAGGCCGGGCGCGGTGGCTCACACCTACAATCCCAGCACTCTGGGAAGCCGAGGCGGAAGGATCGCTCAAGATCAGGAGTTCGAAGCCAGCCCGAGCAAGAGCAAGAAATAAATTGGACAACATATATATATATATATATATATATATATATATATATATATATAATTAGCCAGGCGTGGTGGCACATGCCTGTAGTCCCAGCACTCTGGGAGGCCAAGGCGGGAAGATTGCTCAAGGTCAGGAGTTTGAGACCAGCCTGAGCAAGAGTAAGACCCTGTTCCTACTAAATATAGAAAGAAATAAATTGGACAACATATATATATATATATATATATATATATATATATATATATTAGCTGGGTGTGGTGGCGCATGCCTGTAGTCCCAGCTACTTGGGAGGCTGAGGCAGGAGGATTGCTTGAGCCAGGAGTTTGAGGTTGCTGTGAGCTAGGCTGACCCTACAGCACTCTAGCCCGGGCAATAGAGTGAGACTCTGTCTCAAAAAAAGTAAAAAAAAAAAAAAAAAGAACGGTGGATGAAGCTTTGCTGTGCGTAGCAGTAGCGTCAGTGGGTGGTCCCCCAAACATACGGGGACCGGTCCTCCAACGTGAACGCAACTCCTCCCTCAAGGGTGAAACACAGCAAGGGGGTGGGGGACGGGGGGCTGTGAGAGTGAGGCTGGTCACACTCTCACCCTACTAGAAAGGTTTATGGGGTTTAAGAAGGGAAGGAATGCCCTCAGCCTCTGTCTGGTTCACCATTAATCAGGCATGGCCCAGCCCCTGCTCATCAGGAATGTTGCCTTTTAAGGGTGTGTGTGTGT